TTGAATATACCTGAAATGTTTTTGTTGAAATACAAACAAAGAAATAGTGTTTATAATGGGTGAAGTGTCAATCGAAGTTCGGCATGCCCTTGATTATTATAGGTGATCTATAGAGATTTTCTTATAAACTCTCGAACCTGAGAAATAAATAAACATTCGTCGTAGCAGCGTGCTTTGAAAGAAATGCTTGTTCACTTTATGGAAGTCAGTTTGTTTGTACTATCTTTGCTGAATGTGAAGCACAATCAGAGGAAAAGGCTCAACTGGACCAGTGTATTGTGTCGACTTGAAGGTTTTTGAAATCTTTTTCAATCCCTTTTAATACTGGAGATGAAAGTTACAGTTTTAAGTTTAAACCCACAGAGTTGGTTGTTGTGTTTTAGTGTGTGGGTTTCAAAGCCACATCCACACACAGTCAGATACATACATCTAAGTCCACACATCCACCTTCAATATCTTTAGATGGATAAAGTCTTTCACTACAGTATAGTTTAATTAAAAAATTATCTGTAGGAATAGAGTATAGAAATGTAACTAAAAATAACTTACACTAGAAAATTCATGTCAATCAGATAAGCATTTTTGGTTCCTTATAATGAGAATGCACATGTCAATGATACGTGTTTATTCGTTAACTTTAGTGAGATGCATATTATGTCATGGGATTCTTTAGAGAGGGGGAAATGTGGTTAGTTATTCTTCACTTTTCCTTTGTTGTGTCAGTGGTAAGGGCTCATTTCTAAAAACGGTGAGCACACTTTAATTACATTTTATATTCTGTATTTCCGGATTATCTAATTTCCACTGCGTCGGCGGAAGTCCTTGTCATTTTTGCCAGCCTAGGTGCCCACAAACTATCACTAACTGAGAGATCACTATATGGTATTGGAATTCTTGTGCGTCTAAGGTGCACTACAGAAGAAGTAATATACTCTTTAAAAAAGCAAATGGCACTTTGAATGAAAATAAAGTTTTACAATTGTTTTTTCCCGCTTATCTTCGGGTTTGTGGGTCTGTTATCTAATTGTCTTCATGTTTATTAGGTAACTAATAAAGTCACCAATCATATTTCAATGCAAATACTCTTATTTTAACTAACTATATTAAAAGTGCTAAACATGCTCAATAGAAATTCACAGCTCTACTCTTTGACACTTTTTAAGTATAATTCGTACTCAGGGACTTTAAAGAAACCCAATCTAGGAAACTGAGTTTAAACAGGCATAATTATGCATCGAAATTTTAGACTGAGGTTAACAATATCAGTTCTGTCCGGTGTTATATTCTAGGCAATAAATAGTGCTCGAACGCATTATAATAACCTTTTCCAGGTAAGGTGAAACATTTTCCTTGTTGTTGGTTGTGAAAAAGCATCTTGCAAAATAGCCTTCGACATTCGGCAGAGAAATCCCTTCGGAAGGGCTAGTGAAGTTATTGCGTATAGCTTAGATTTTAAACGTAATAAATAAGTAGTTAACTTGCTACGTGCACAACTAGGAAATTGTAATCATTAAGTCAAGTGAAAATAATAATTACGATAATTGTAACAGTAAAATGAATAAGTGTATAACAATAGCAACAAGTATAATAATAATTATTAGTTTATCAAACTTTAGAAAACTAATTACATAGTTTTGAATATGAAAAAAAAAATAAAATAAAAATTTACATAATTATAAGGTTACTTAACAGTGATGAAAAATTAAAGAACATGATAGCGACGGAAAAACTTATTTTTCTATTTCCGAAGTAAAGAAACTTCGGTAGAATAAGAACACGGCGATAAATGCACTAATAGACGTGTTTATAACGTACCATACATCCTGCCATACTAGATTCAGCGTAACACTCAGTTTCCACCCATGGACTCTGTCTGTGAACTCGAATCTTATAAGTTTGCACTGTCATTTTTTATCGTCGTCTGTTAACAAAGAGGAAATTTTTAACTGATTTTTTGTAGTATCCATTATTCATTAAACACCTCGTAATAGAAATTCATGGAACTTTCAGGATTTAGGTAAATGCTAAATCATGTAACTACACATACAACACCTACAGTGAATCGGTTAAGGTAGGTGCATTTAAGTGTTTACGTAATTTAGTGAGGAACTTAACAAACAAGTCAGATATAAATAGTGAAATCAGAAAGTAAAGAAAACAGTACTAGTGAATAACTACTACCCACTAGATTTCATTCAAAATGTATGACAACTCATAAGAAAAACAAGAGCAGTATTAGAAACAATGAAAGTAATATAAACAATAAGGAATCTACAGCCCCGGAAGAAGTGCCATAGGGAGAGGGAACATCAGAGGCCCTATGTAGGATTCTTAACAAGGCTGGAATTAGAGCGTCATGTCAACCAACCAACTGGTTCACAGACATATTTCTCAGCTTAAAGATCCGATACACTCTACTGGGGAAAATAATATAAATTACCGAATTCCCTGTGAGATCAGCTTCATAGATCACATTACTAGGTCGAAGTTAACTAAATCTTTGGAACATACGCGTTTAGCTAGAGCTAGAGTGACTGACCCTGATAACTTAAGTAATCTGGAAAAGAGCTTGTCTATCTCAGTGCATTCACTTGCATGTGGTTACACAATAAGGTGGGATAGGGTCAAACAATTATAAAGTAAATGAATAAATTCATCGAATCAACAAAAAATGTGTGCAGCCAAAGTGATGCAACACCTATTGCGGAAGTATAGAGGGTTGCCCTACAAATGAGTGAGGCTATTGAAAGCAAGTTATCAAGTCGTGTGAAAACACTTATAAGCGATAAATTGTGCTTGAAAAGTCATCCAGTAATCTGTTGTTCTTCCTCAAAGTGTCGCATTAAACGTAATATTCATGAGCTTAGCGGTTGATTATATGTCATACAAGTCATTTCCATTTTTCTTCGGCTTCATAGTAGCCATGTCTATGGAGGTATGCGCAACTGAAAAAGTTTGGGATATTTAAGATAAATTTGGGGCATTTGGGAAAAATGCCGGTCCATGTTTCCTAATTATAATATGCCTCGTGTAAGTAATGATAACAACAGCTGTTTTCTGGATGATTTCTTGACACAGCATGCTTAATTTTAAGCGTAGATATTATTGATTAGTATTTCCAGTTCACCTAGGAGTTTTAAGTAAATCAAAGGTCTCCAGTAGGTCATTTGATGCAATGCTGTTCCGTCTGCAGAATTAAGTAATTTTTCTCTGGTCCCCAATAAAAAATAAGGAAAGATATACTGGAAACCAATTAAAAACTTGCACGATTACGTTTGGTGACCCACGTTCATCACGAAATGAGTATAACAACAAGAATTAAAGAAAATACAATGCATTGTCTCGGATGAGAATCCAGGTAGCTCAGTAATTGAAGCAGACCATTTTTTTTCATTACATCAGATTATGGAATGAACTAAGCTCCTTACAAGCAGTATAGAAACAGACTACGTAATCGCGCATATAGCAGTGTGATCAAATTCATGTGCAAAAAATGATAGCTATATTAGTGCAACGTGCATCAAGCTGGATAGTGCTTTACTTTTTATAGTGATATTGTGGTGAGAGCTGTCTACTAGCCAAATTGGTAGACAGTAATTTACGTCAATGTTTACGTTCTCAAGATTGGTCGTGAGAAAAATATGAACAAGACTGATTCAAAAAACGACCACAGCAGACTTTGCGTAGGCGGATACAGTTAACATATAGATGATCTGACATTCAAGAAACAGTCACAAAGAGACGAAAGATTAACTTTAAGTGAGAAACAACCAGTTAGAAGACTGTGTTTGTTTGCTTAAATATCCATAGTAATGTACATGAAAATATGTAAATATGCGTTGATTTCCTTAATAAATGATCTGTTGCCTGGCCCTTGTCTTCTGTTGTTGCAATATAACAGCTTTTAGAGAATTTTAATATAACCTAGAATTCAAATCATTCCTATTCATGACACTACAAGCTGCTTAGGTAATAGGCCAGGTTTCATTAGATGACGGTGTAATCACCTCATAACTAATACATTTTTTGAAATGACGTTCTGATGTACTTGTCTAACGTTCCCTTTCGGAAGTTGATTCGCACAATTAGCACTTGTGCTAAACCAAGTCTGATGTGAACCCTTTTGTCGTTTGATCGTGAACGACCTTATGTTACATGTTATCTGCTGATAACTATTATCGAATCAAGAGAATTAACTCTAGAATACTAATTATCCAGGAGTAACAGACCACGGTTGTTATTTAAAAAAAATAACTGCTGCAAATAATAGCGTATTTATTCAATGAAGGACTTAATAGATTCATTGCTTTGATAAGTTGTAAGCTCATAATGAATGTCATCCTGCTACACACTGCACAGAAAGCTGTAAGCCATCCTTGCTTACTTTTTTGGCTATAAAACCTTGTGGCCACTCAGGAATATTACCAGCTAAATATATCAGTTAGGGACTTTATTATGGAATATTTCGCGTCACAAGTGTTGTTCTATTAGAGTATATTATACAATTTAGTCATCCAGTGGCCATTATTGAAGCCGTCTACGCTTAAATACCTACAAGAAGACATAAACCTCGTGCACATTATACAATAAATGTTGTTCCTGCTTTAATCTTGAGATTCTTTAGTTAAACTGATGACTTTTAGAAGCTGTATACAAGTCAGTCATTAGCATTCTAGAGAACACTTTTCTAGCATATTGTGAATTTGTTATTGATGATGCATTTAATATACACACAGCATGGTGAATTTTCCATATTTATTATTGCAGTACTTCATCTAACTCCAGACTGTTGAGCACATAATGTTCAATGATAATACGATAAACATGCCTTAAAATCGTCTGTTGAAATAACCATTGAACTGAATGGGAAACTCGACATCTGCTGAAAAGCTGAATGGCTTTGCAGTCAGAGAACTCGGTAGTCAAAACGACAGGTGTTCGATTCAACTCTTAGTGAAGACAGCATCACTCATTATGATGCAGATATAACGAGTTAAGAAGTCCTGCAAATGATGGCCCTGAAATAAGGAGGAATTAATACTAAAAAAAACAACAATGAAATAAGCAGCCAAAATCTACGTATAACCAATTCTTTATGCAATTTTTATACGGGAAAATCACTGGTAGCTTAAACAATATGTTAACATTATGTAAACAATGGGAAAACAGTTCTCCAATGTTCAAATTAAACAGTTGTTGAGTTTGTGTAAGAAAAGGACAGAGACCGGGAAAAAAAAGAACAAATAATTCTTGTCTTTGGTAGTTATTGTATTCAATCAAAAGGGTGGAGAGAAAAATGGAATGTAAAGAATCTGACCGAATCAAAAATAATGCCATATGTAACTGTTCACCTAAAAAAAAACCCTTAAAGGTAGGGAAATGAAATGACTGAATAAGAAGTCAACCAATGTCATCCAATGGATAGTTAGTTGGCTTATATGTTGAAATCTGAGAAATCTTTACTAACATCATCATTATTCGATCCAGGAGATGATAAATTTGTTGATTTATGATGCAGCATAATCATGACGAAAAATAATAAAATGATAACAAACAAAACGCATATAAGTGACATCAGCAGCATAGTTTGTAAATTAACTGAAATCCACTTCCACACAGATGACCATCGATATTCTCTAAAAAGTTGGCTTGACACTTCAGATTTTAGTATACTTGATATACGCTCTAGACTACCATTATTAGGATTTGGTGGAATGTTAAGAAGTGCGCACATTAATGCATAGACGTCTACAGAATGAATAGCTGGTACAGTTTCACCAATTTTAAAAGCAGGTCCACTGGCAATAAAGAATGCATGCATTTCAGAGAAATTTGTCACATAACCATGGTCACCAGCTAAAAGAGAGCAGAAAAAACAAATTGAAGATAATAATACAGCATTACTATATATAAGTTGGTTGAGAATAAACTAGGGAAATGCTTAAACTACAAAAATGAAATCTAAGCTATATTACCTAATATTCCTAAGTACCAGATTCGGGAAGTTCCCACGTTCATATAGACAGATTCACGGAACTTACCGGTTGGTGTTTTGACCTAGACTAGGAGAGTGGAGCTATGCCTCATTGGTCTAAGTGATTGATTGCTTACAGAGATTTATGCAGCCAGTCCGCATCACTAGCCTTCACACAGCATATTATTACGATTCGTCCATTTGGCTACGAGTGGAACATATAGCTTCACCAGTAAATATCTATTTTATCATGTTTTCTGTTGTTTTACTTAGCTGGCCCCATTATAGCCTAGAAACTTCCATTTCCGCTTCATTTGATTTCCCAAATGCCATCCTCAGCGTAGTTCATTCTACCTCGACTTCCTCCTGAATGTTTTATGACACGCGTGCCAAATCTCTGAACCATATTCATCCAGCACTGACTTCACATTAGTATTGAAAATTCCGATTTTTTTCCTTGAGCAGTAGATCTTCACACTGAATTTAGATTAATTAACACCTGTCTTGTTATACCCAACTGAATCCGGCTGGATTTGACATCTTCATCCATGCCTTTAGTTGAAACCATGCTTCTCAGTTAAGTGAAGGAAACGACATCCCTTAGATTCCTCCTATCGATGGTGCTTGTTGTTGTTGTTGCCGGTTAGTTATCTGTATCACCTCTGTCTTTGCTAAGTTCACTTGAAGTCCTATCTTTGCTGTCTCTTCTTCCAACTTCTTGCCTTCCACTTGTTAATCTGTGGAATCTGGGTATTCTAAAGTATATTTTTGCTTTCAAAGTATGCTCATTTTCTCACTACACGTGCACAGTCTGTCACATGATCTAGTCCATCACACTCAGGAAGATCATCACTTCATCTTATTCCTACTTTTGCTTCAAACGATCCGGTGAGTTTTCTTTTGAGAACAACCTAACATGCGGCATCGCCGTAGAGCTGTTGAATCAGGTTCCTGAGTGTTTACGATACTGCACCTAGGAATGCTCAAGCAGTTGTCAAAGTAAATTGCGATCGACGCCAGTGAAGGCCGTCTCAAGGTCGATGAAAATAAAGCTTGGAGTTGACTGTTGTTCTACATCCTATTTGATGATGTGTAGTGTTGGAAGTTACGTGTTGGCGAGTAGTTCTGCATCTTCTAATAATATTTCTGGACTAGTTGTAGGTGGATATTGGTGACCTTTGGAGAAACGGGACCAGCGTTTTTGCACATCTTAGCTAATTGGGTTTCCCACATTGTCTTTCACAAGTTTCATCTGAGTTTATCTCTTTACCGGATACAGTCCTGGTCGTTTGACATAGCACCCTATTGTTTCTCTTACTTGCAGCCTGTTCTGTTTCAGTTTTCAATGCCTCTTAAAAGCATTTTTAGTCCTTTTGGACATTCTTCTTTACTTCTTTCTCCGCTGCTCTGTTGATCATACTTTTGTTGTCCATCTGTGCAATAGTTTGTCTTCTGTTTCATCATCTTTCATTCCTTTATCAGCCTTCAGGTGTCTGTATTGAGACATTCTTTGTATTACCTGATCTTTTCTAAGAGATCTATGCAGCTGTCCTTCCATGTGGCTTTCAGAGTTTCAGTATCATTTACCACACGTTTACGCAGAGAAGTGTAACCATTGCAGGACAGCCTTCGAAGCTGTTATTGAAACCATGACGGCAACACCCTCAATGTGCACGTTGTTGTCATGTGGAGACTAGAGTCGATTATTTACTCTCTCGTTAACAATTTGAAGAATCCACTCCTATTCAATCTCCTCTCACGGACTCCTAAACCTCTATACCATGTCTCCTCAGTTTGTCTCTAATGTCAGCAGCCTTGCCAACCAGCTTTAAATATGGTGGAGACACAGAATGTCCTCATGCCTACTATAGTTATCATCAATAAAAGGCAGAGAAGTTAACTGGCCTACCGAATGTTTTCATTTGCTTGTTACATTCGTTCTCTTCAATTCCAGCGAAGATTATTTTTATTGTTAATATTTTTACGGTGCTTTGATTTCTTTTTTGGAGATTAGGTTTTTTCTTTTCGGGGCAGGGTCTGTAGTCCCAATCGTGATCTGTCTTTTTTGGGCTGACGGCCAGTTAGTACACTAGATGGAGTTCCTCACATAGTAAGTGTGGCTTGCTACCAAGTGAATTGAAATGTAAGCAGTTTTTAAATAACACTAGAGACTAGGAACATATGCAGTCAAACTAAGCAAATAACTTGAAAAATGAAGAAAACGTTAAGAAAAACTTCAGTTTTTTATCAAGTACATACAACACACGACGGTATGCAGATAAACTTACAAACTTTCGCGTACGGAAATGAGGCATTCTTCACAATTTTCCATTTAGGTTTAGCAATAAGTACTAATGGTGGCATACGAGAGTGACTGACATTGAATTTCAGATAGGCAGGGACTTCTTCCCTTCGATAAACTTCTAATTTAGGATGTGCATTCTTCAAACGCCGATAAACAAGTTCAAACATTCCTAAATTTTAGAGGAAAAATTTAAGATGAAAGTCTCAATCCCTAAAATAATTTCAAGTGCATTTTATAATTACTGAAACAATAACTACCCGTCTCAAGAAAAAGAACATGAAGTTCATTATTACAGAAATAATAATAATAAGTAGAACTCGCTTACTTAAAAGGCAATGCTATTCAATGCCTAATTAACTAATTGAAAGATAAGTGAGTATTTAGAAAGTTACTTTAATGATTATACATTTGGAAAACCAACCAAGTGTATAATGAAATGCCCTTAGAATTCAGGACATCGATAATAACAGATTGATTTGTGGTGATTTTCAAACTAACCGATGGAAACATGCTACAATAATGATTAAAATTCTGTGGACACGATCTTTAATTCATTCTTTTAAAACTTAACGTTACAACAAATGATGACCAATGTACAAATGCGATTTCATCAGTTTACGTAAGTGCATGCGTGAAAGTCATCGCATAAGCATACAATAATTTTTCATTATCATTATTAATAATTTTACTTATCTTGGAAAAACTGTATACTGCTTTCTATTTCATTCATTGCATTCCGAGTGGCACACTGAACTTCAGGCTAGAGTTTTGAAGTTTCAGTAGCAGTTATATATATTTTTGCGGTGTGACCTTGCTATCCTGACACTCAGCCTTTCCTCTTTACCGGGCTTGCTGCCGGCTAAGCGACGTTACGGAGTGCGTCGGCCAGCGTGGTTGACAAGTATTCTACCACTGAGTCACCGATTGTTTTAATCGGATTTGATTACAGAATCCAACCTGATTGTGACTATTTGATAATATACAAGTTTTTACTCATAGTCATTCAGAACAATCATAATTTCAACTGGTACACATTTTGCATAGCCTCCAATTCAGACTTCACATTTATTTATAGATCTACAAATAAGAAGTATATCAGTTCGATTTTTAAATACACGACTGAGTTTGCATGATTAGAATACATCTTCACCGCACGGAGTACCAGGGAAGGTGAAAAACTACAGAGAACTTTCTGATAAAATTAAATGCCTACCATGCAATAAAAAAGTTATTCCATTGTAAAAACTAAACTGAATAAATACTATGAATACCACAAAAATAAATCCACCCAAGATAATCAGAATGAAATGAAAAAAAATGTCGCCAACCATCACAGGAAATTGTGCAAGATATGCATCATATATACTGACGGCTTGCTTGAGTCATTGGGGGATCTGAATTTCCATCCAATACAATGCGTCACGCCTTCTGAAATTCATATTGTTTTAGCCATTCAGTTATGCCCTTGAGTTGCAAAGTGTACTCATTATTATTATTTTTATTGTTCCCTTGGGTTCCCAGTGGAACATAGGGCTTCAACTACACGTCTCCACTTGTTTCTGTCTTCTGCTGTACTTTTCACCTGCATCCATGTTATTCCATACTGCTTCAATTCCTCTTTAGACGATCTCATCCATGTCACCCTTGGACGTCCCACTCGCCGCTTCCCTTTCGGGTTCCACTCGAGTGATGGCCTGACGCGCGATGCCACCCAGCGGCCTCCTCAGAGAGTATCCAATCCATCTCCACTTTCTCCCGCATATTTATTGGGCGATTGGCTATTGTTTTGTTTGTTTTCAAAGTGTACTCATGCACATTTTTAATTGGAGCTTTCAAAATGCCGGTGAGCGTATTTGGTAGACGAAGGAAGTATATCACAAGGGATTGGTCTAGGCTTCACATAGAACAGCATGTCGTCACATGATGTACTATAGATTGTTATTTCACTTGAAATCTTGGTTGCAGAGAATATATTATGCAATAAATTACACTGAGACTTCTGTACACTGCGTAAACATTCTAGCCAATATAAAGCTATTACTGTTATTATTGTTACTGAAGCATTTATGTTACCTACTAAGCTAAAAAAATTGAAAGTCATTATCTACTAAAGAAGTTTATTTAGAGAGAGAATTCCTTAGAAAAGGTAAATTGTAACATCGGACTTTGATGAAGCGGAACTTTTAAAACCAAATTCACGATTTCAATTTCATTAAAAAAAAATGTCTCAGATGAAAAAAGCTGCATACAATAAAGACTAAATACTTACCAGGTTTAGGATAAAGAAAGCCCATTGTTGATAACTGAGTATACGTGTACAAAGAACTGTCCACATAATCATCCAGTCCAATCAGTCGACTATTCGATGTTTCAGTCATACCGTGATCAGCAGTTAAAATAATGTCCACTTTGTCTGTAAGACCTAATTTTTCAATACCATCTAGAAGGGTACCGAGTGTTTTATCTAAACTTTGGACCATTTCTGCAACTTCCTTACTATTTGGACCATATTCATGACCAGTTTCATCAGGTTCATCGAAATACGCCAAGATGAGATTCAAATGAAATTTAGGATTTTTCAGCCACCATAAAATATCTCTGATTCTTTGATCATACGCATAACGATGGCCATAATTATTAAGTAAAGTGAACTGTGAAACATATTGAAATGGTAAATCTTTGCCGACAAATTGATCAGTTAAAGGCCATAAAACTGAACCAGCGTACCCACCGTGCTTTTGGAGTGTAACCCATATCGGCTCAGACCAATTGGTTAACCATGGGGCATGATTTAAACTTTCTTGATCATCCATATTGAAAGTTTCATTAGGCCAGCTTTTATCCAACAAATTATTTCCTATAACTCCATGATTCTCTGGATATAAACCGGTTACTAAAGTACGATGATTAGGTAAGGTAATAGTAGGATAGGCATTAATCGATTCCATGGCTCGTACACCGTTAGCTAATAAACGATCGAAATTCAACAATGAATTAGCGCCCAGACGAGATTTAGCCATTTCTATGTAATCATGTCGAAAACCATCCATGCTAATTAACAGAACAGTTCTATCAGTGAAAAATAATCTTGAGAAAGGCCTTTTCACATCCCATCGATTTACATCCGTGTCTAAGGGTATATCTATCGTGATAATAATGAAACCAAAAAGCATCATTGTAATGCCTGAAACAATCAGTGAAATCAGAACACAATCACTTTTACGCTTGTAACGTCGCATATAGTCGTGACTTATTTGATAGTATGGTGGAGGTAGATCATTCTTCTCTGGCAGTACACGTTCTGTTGACATTATTTCTGTAATGAAAAGAAAATAACAAAGACAAACAAAACTTGATTCTAAAACGAAATGCGTCATGTAAGTAATTTTTACTTTTCAGTAGGAATCGTTTATTTGTAAGCAGAACTGTTTTCAGATTAAAAATGAAAAGTGAGAAAGTTTTCACTTAGCTTACTTGATTTTTTCTATATTAATAAAAACATAACCTTGCGTTATACTACAAAATATCTTTGAGGTGTGCTTTATGAGATAACTTTAAGAGATGAAGTTGATTAATTTCAAGTGCTCTTTTTCAGATGCAGTAGAGTTCGGTTGATGAACATTTTTCAAAAATATTCGCATACTTTTCTACTCTGGTGTATTATCGAATAGGAAGAATGTTTTGAGTACAGCAGTGAAGAACTGAAAGATTATCCTGTTTATATGATACAATAAACTAGGGTTGGTCGCAACATACTATAAAAGATAAAACATAGTACAGTGTAGAATCCTATCGAGAAGGCAACTTCACTCCACAATACACGAAATGAATGAAAGTAAGATTGTGCACAACAGGGGAGAAACAAAAACAGATCAACTGTGTCCAGAATCCGAAAGACAGCGCATGAAATGATGGTGAAAAAGGATACAGGTAATATGTAAGGCGTGCTTTCAAAAATCCCTCGATAAATTTTGCTCGAATTTAGATAAGGAAGCTAGAGGCATAAACTTCACGGTATTTAAACCTCATTTGCTCTCTTACAATTCAAGAATTTGTCACAAACAATAAGTTGGGTACAAACGAAGCACTATGCTACCCACAGCGACAGGACGAATACACATATATTTGTCATTGTGAGCGCATGTATAGCAAAGTTTAACTTTTTTTTTAAAACAGCGACGATAGGGATTTTCCTGCGCAGAATTCAATATTATTCTTTTCAACTTCTTGCTTTCTACAAAACTTGGCTATACAAACATATAGGGCGCGGATATTTTGTGAAGACACCACCAACTAGCATGTGTCTTAAAAGAAAGCTTATTGTAAGCCTTGGCAACATGAATGTGGTTGTTGAAGTATAAATATAACTAGCAATCATCACTCCCTATGGAATTCAGTGTCACAGTACCAGTGGACGAAGAAATACACCGGTAATACTTGACCTCAGAAGCGCTGCACCTGAATACATGAATACTCTACACCCCGTTTTTGAAACGTGGCTGAACAAAGAATTCGAATATAAAGCTTTAAAATCGCAGACAAATTCCACATATACGTTCGAAAGAGTAATTACAACTATTTTTTCACAGGATTATAAGTTTACAACAAGCGGACGATTATGAACAATGCAAATGATAGCAGAGACTTTTACAAACTTTTATTTTGACAATTCACATTCTCCATATCGAAAATTAAGTCAACCTTAAGGGGAGGAAGTGAAATAAAGCCACTAATATAGGTTGTAGATGTAGGCAAGGCGATACAATGACAAATCTAGCAATTCTATTCTACTCCGAAGCTGTGAATTTTTTCCCATCATCATATCTATGACAAGATTTCCAAGATAAGGATGAAAATACATGGGTGAGTAATCTTATTTGTATCACTGCCTGAGAACAGATCAGTGTTAATTATAAGAAAAGTATTACCATGTTTCAGTTGTCCTTGTCTACATAAAACTATAACAAAGAAATGTCTAATATATTCTAAGAATTAAAGTTCACCAAACACTAGTCCAGCAGTGTTAAGTGTCCTTTTTCCTCTGTCCATTAATTCTTCACCATTATGAAAGTAAACAATCTACAGTGCTAATTCAAGAAATGATTATTAAAATCAACTGGAACAAAAAAATATATCGTACCAAGAAAATGTCTTACTACCATTGGAAAACTACGTAAACACATTAACTGAATAAAATTATACATTTACATGATGCAAAATTAATCAGTAAAAGACGAAGGAAGGTGAGATTATTATGAAAAGAAAAACAAAAGCAAGCCATTGAATAAAATATTTTATTTATATATTTTTTGTAGCAGAAATTGATGAAAAGGTGAAGAGCACAGTATGAACAAGTGTAAATCTAGAAGCTCACTTCTAAGGGGATAAAAAAAGGTGTTACAATTTTAAAGGTCCACCTATTAAAGTGTTACTTTCAAAGAGAGATGTTTAATAACTATATCCATATAATTTAGCCACCGGAGCAGGAGCACGTCGGAAAAATAGAGATGATCCTCGAACAAAAGCATCCTGCAGAGAAGAAACAAAAAGAAATTGAACAAAATTGCTTATTAGCACGTTTTCTTAATAGCATTCAAAGTGTCAGCATCGTCAAGAAAACAACATCTGTTATGCAAGTGTGGTAAAAAAAAGTTTGTATTTTCAATTATACCACCACCTTCCATAAGTGCATAACACAGGCAAGTTTGTACAGAAATAAAGTAGCAGTGTAACGTAGACTTAATAATAAGCATTTAACAATTGCATATACCAGTTGACTAAAATGATACATGCAGAGCATAAAACAGCAATTGACCCTTATCGTATATATATATATATATATATATATATATATATATATGCAGGACAGATGGTACGTTACATCGATTGTATGCGTTGAGTGTTGATTCACAACCTCTCAGTCGACTACTTTGAAGTTTATGATTGACTTTATTGTCCATCTCTTAGTTTTCGCTACTTCATCACACAAAGCTAACTGCCCTAAATGCAGAACAACTGATTACTTGCTGTGGGACAGGCTGTCGATTTAAGTAATAATTTATTTTTCGAGTTTGACCACGGATTGATATCAGTTAGAGAACCATTGAAAACCAGCTGTTTCATCCTAGTTTGTTAATCACTGACAGAACGCACCCACTGGGGTTCGAACCGAGGAGCTACCGGTTACAAGGCAAGCTCGCATACCATTCAGACACTGGGACCCGATTCAATGTCCACCCCATGAATTGTAACTTCTATTAATTCGCGGTCTTTAGCGCGACCACCAACCAATGTCATCGGTGGGAAATCCGTCCTCACACACTTGACTGGATGGACCTCACTGGTCATAACTTCTCACTAGAACTTCAGGAAACTCCGTCCTATAGCAAGTCACTAGCGAGCATCAGACTAACTTTAAAGAGCTGATTTGTAAGGATTAGGTTTGCCTTGCAGAAGCTGCAACAGTTTGAAAAATGAAATAAAGGTAACTTTTGACATGAAAGAAATCAAAAAGATATCTATGTGATAAGTGAGCCAAAAAGAAAGGAAAGCTGATTTGTAAAAAGCCAAATGCTTCTAGCTTTGATGTATGTGAAAACTGTTTTTTTTTTTTTAAAAAAAAAACAGATTTTATAAAAATTTTCTTTGAACAAAACTTGGTACGGATAAATTGCAAAGTAATGATTAACAGAATGAACGAGTTTATATATACAGTTTTAGAAACATAAAAAGATCACTCACAGATTGATTGAGGTAGGAGTAACACTGCCACCAGTTGTCGAATACAGGCACAATGTTCATTCTATATTTTCATGAGTAAGAGGAACAGACCATAAAAGTAAATTATTACTACTTTAGTTTGATAAAGAATTTCTAATGTCGAAAGATCAGGTAATCAGAATAGAATTTTACAAGAAGATTGAAAGTATGCCTTAAGACAGATGTACACGGGAACAGCGTATAAAATCGACCATATCCATGAGATGCATTCCACTAATTTAGAAAGTTTCTACTACAATACATCTTTATTCCTACTACGGAATTACCTTAACTATTTTGTTTCTCTAGTTAAATTCCTCGTTAGCACACTGTCATACACTACTATACTAGTTTTTGGTTATTCAAGTCTGACGCACACTGATTAGTAAACAAAGAACATTATTTTCTTCAGGTTCTACACATATATGACCAAATTAGTTAAGGAATGAGTATCATGAACAATATCGAATCATTACGATAGAATATTTACGAGGTGTATATCGATAAATTGCTACTACATAACAGTTCAAACAATGTATGCGGCAAAATACATAAATAATTCAAACGAATCATAAACGAAGTAGTGAAGAATAATTCCCCATTTTTATTGTTACTAACAGATTGTCAAAAACCGTCAATTACTGAATATCACAAACAACAAAAGCTACAGCAATTGGCTTGGAATAACTTGAAGTAGATCGTGGCAGTAGTAGTAGACCCGAGTTGGCTCATGCAAGCGAAAAATCGAGCATTCTACCTACAGAACAATAAAAAGACTCGGCTCTTTTGGATAGATGGTTGGATTATCCCATAGTGTCTGTGAATAAACACTGCCAGTAAAAACTACTGCGGAAGAACACCCTTTAGATGTGACCTTTCGTTCTTTGAATATACATTTCCCCCATCAATTATTTTTTAAAATAAAACTCATCTGATTCATTAGTCGTCACATCTATATACTCATACAAACGAAGCTTTCAATTCTAACCTCCTGCCAGAAGAAGCTGTCGAAAAGAGTGTTCCTTGTTCACCAATCTCTGTTCTGGTATATAATGGGAATCTCCAAGCTATTTATCTAAATACTGTAATATTTATCTGTAATTATTCAGGTAGCTCAGTTAACACCCAACTGTATCTATTATACATCCATTACAGAATAAATAACATACACTAAAGAATAAACTGGAAGCTTTAAGCTGGATAGTTCCAGTCGTGACATTTGTTGTCCACTGACTCGTACATCTGAACACCTCAGAAAAGTAATCATTAAGGTGTTTTTTGTTTGGCAATTCCTATGAAAATAATTACTGTCTATCTCTTATTGTTGAAGTTTTGTCAAATGTGGCAGCACAGGTTTACTTATTGGTCTTGTAAAATCCACATCTTAGGTCCTACAAATTTTCTCCCCGTTGAAACATATTCCTTATTATTGATTTGTTTAAATAACAAGTACAAAGAACTAGTAATAAAATGATCTAAAAGGGAAAGAAGAGATTATTAAAGGTGTGGTTAAACAGATGATGACAATTTAAGAGGATAAGTATCTAGTCCACTTAGATTTGAAGATTATATCACACATCCCAGGTTATTTATCATAATCAAGTAACCACGATTTCGCAAGAGAAACAACACACTGCTAATCTGATCCAATGAAAACATCGTGCACACTCTGAAGCAGTATGTTCTGACCAAAAATAATACTGATAACAGAAAAAGCTAAGAATAAAGCTAATGTAGTACGGATGAGTAGCGATTTAACACAACGAAATTTCAAGTCGAGCATTTTACTCACACTAAAAAAGGGAGAATTACAAAAGCTAACCGATACGCAAAAGACAACATCTACAAGGAAGTATTTACTCTACTGCCAGTCATCTATTTTGATGTTTCATAAGGCTTAATCAGTCGGTTTTTGCAGCCAATAGGTCCTGGACTCAAGCCACGCTCCACCTGATTCATCCTAGGCGACTGGGTAGTATCATGAGCCCACATAATGTGTGGTTTGTAGCCTGGTACATGGGAAATCTATTCCGAGTAGTGGAGTTTTACGTCTGTTCAACACAAGCAGCGACATAAATACGATCAAATTATATTATCAACAGCCAAGTGTATCAAGTATATAAAAGAAGTGATTACTACATATTATCATTATTATTATTCACAAAAGTTACTTTTCTAACCCTGAAAAATAATCTCGATATCCAACGTTCGTTAGAGATGGATTCCTTTTCAAAGGCTTATGTTATCTTTGTTAATGAACATATCAGTCAACACATTCCTTTTTAATAGACAGAAAGCATTTGGAAAGTATGCCAAAAATCATATGGTTTACAGTAATTGTCAGGCAACTTTGAAATTAGACGTCCTACTAGTAGATACTTATCACAAGCACAGTGTAATATCAGCGTTGACAGAATAGATTTTCAATCAAACATCAAAATTCATACCATCAGTTTTGCTAGAGGTGACACACAGTCACAGATAATGCATCCCATTATGTAGTAATGTATTTGCAGTGAAATGATTTCAGCACATACGTAGTCAATGTGTTATAGAGTAAATAATAAAGCGATATTTTTAAATCATATCCAAAAATAAACAGCATAACTTTTTCTGATCAGTAAATTAGTATGTCAGAAGACAAAAATAAAACAAACAAAATTCTGTACATAATTAAGGTCGAATGTATTTTAACTTCAATATACACTGGACTTGAATAAAGCATGTGTAACTTACACAATCCATTTCTTTACCCCTATATCCTATCTTATTGACTTTAAATACCCGTGTATCTTGAAACTAGTCTAAAAAGTTCTAATAAGAAGAAGAGACTAGCGAGAGTCAATAAGCAATAAGGTGTTGATGAGCACATGATTCAGAATCCATAAGACAGACAGAAAAATATTTATGGGTGTGTTTAGTTTAAAGACAACATTGAATATTTACGTTATTTTAGTATTATTCTGCTTATGAATAATAGCATAACGATTTTATTAAATTAAATTCGCAATTAACATAGTTCGCTGTTGTGAAATTTCGGCACAGTTCATACCTTTGGAAACCGAAATTACTCAGATCACAATAATACATATCATCTGCTTTACACCATAAATCACAATCAAGAAGGCAAGCACAAATGCGTGATTGATAAAAGTAGCTGGATATCACTTAAATTCACCAGTGTCTAGTTCACTTCGAATTGGCCATCTACTCATATCAATCACACACTGTCAACTAAAAATATGCACGAGACTGCACAAGAGTAAGGAAGGATGAATAAAATAAAGCTTATAAATAATAATATAAAACACCATTGGTGATTTGTAAAGCTAACTGGTCAGTATTCAATGCATTAAACTGTTCAAGATATGCCAATGGTGAAATCGGTTACAAAAATCTAATGACTGTGTATTACTCAAATTGTATTCACATGACTAAGCACTTCTTTCTGTGAACCAGCGTCCTCGAAATCACTTATGCAGATTAGTAGTAATTGGTAGACGTATAAATAATCACTGTTGTCAAGAGAAACAGGGGAATTCATGATCAGATTTTATCTAATAGTGTATATGAGCTCGCCTTGTAACTAGAAGGTCCTGGGTTCGAATCCCGATGAGTGCGTACTGATGAAGAGTCCCAAACTAGGACGAAACAGCTGTCCAGTACTCTCAGGTTTTCCAACGGTTCTCTAACTAATGTGAGCTCATGATGAAGTCCTGTGACTAATCGTGTATCTATTACATCACAATGGAAATCACTAAAATTTCAAAGACACTTACAAATAAAAGGTTTGATATCTTTGATAACATGAGATAAGAATGTGACAGCAATATTGGTAGAAATTTTAAAGAGCCGAAGGACATAAAAAGTACCGCGAAAAGTGATACAAGACCTAGAAATTCACATGAAAACAGAGAATCAGTGCGTTCGACCTACAAAACTCGAAGTTTTAAACCACCACTCTCATGTCACGAAGACTCCAAGTCATATTATCGTAAGTTTCGATAACCACCTAATTTTTTTGGAAAAGGTTGTGTGAGTACATTAGTACTGGCGTACATTATACACATTTCAACAGCATCTTTTATTTAGCTCCTGTCACCCATTAAAAGGAAGTAAATTATATCTTGATTAAATTGCAGTACCAGGTATCATAATCTATCAGAGCGTAGAATGACAGTGAATTCTCTATCTCAACTTCATCAACTTTGAAATGGCCTTCGACAGCGTTGACCACGAAGTGATTTAGAAACTGCTTCAACACTACATAGTGTAGTGAACGAATCTTTATCAGCCTCATTCAAAAGCTATATGACAATTCCATATATCAAGTGATCCACAATGGAGTACTCAGAGAAGTCTTTGAAGTGAAGACAGACGTAAGACATGACCCCCCCCCTACTATCAACGGTGATATTCCTGATTGTGGTGGATCTGATCATGAGGCAGATCATGATTGGGGAGCGAGAAGACAAGAATACGTTGGACCGATAAGAAGACTGTAGAAGAACTGGACTTTGCGGATGACTTGTCTAAAATCCCATCGACTCGAAGACCTACTCGGAGACTCTTGAGTGAGACCACGTACCAGGCCACCAAGTGGAACCCAAATGGGAAACGACAAGTTGGATGTTAGTCCGAGGGTGATATGAAGGAGATCATACGAAGAGATGAAAACCGTGGAGCCAACTAGAAAATGGACTGTACAGAACAGGATGAAATGTAGATGTGTAGTTGAAATCCCACGTTTCACTCGGAATCCAAGTGAATAACAATAAATAATACTAATAATTAATGAAAATAACTATTGCGTCAGTCTACATTTAAGCTGACTTGATCCCTTCGACTGAGAAATAAGCATTGTTAAAAAAAATAAATATACATGAACTACTTCAGGATTACTGAAAATGGGGAAGAGTTAGGCTATAACTTTATGAACATTATGAGTGATTCAGTAAAAAAGATATAAGTATCAAGTTTGTTTAAGTGAATGATATTGAAGTTTGTTAGCCACAGTCACGAGAATAAAAACAAATAAAATATACATAAATTATCTGTGAAACTAGTTTTCATAGACCATAGAAGTTGAGTAACTCATAAGGAACTGAACAAAATTCACTAATAACCCATCGTTTACCCTCTAATCACATGGCCAACTGGATCAATTTTTAGAGCAATGAAGTGTTAATTCCGGTGACCAAAATTAACAACTATAGTAACACTATCAACAGAAGAATTGACCAATATTAAAATCGAAGATGACAAAACAGAACTTAACGTAGTCCTACCTGAAACCAGCCATTAATGTAAACCCGTTACTATCTCGGAAATAGTATATGGAGAGAAACTAATATTTTGCTAATTGACAAAAGCTTCTGATTAAAACCATTGTAAGGCTTACTAGATATAATCTAATGAAATAACTTCAAATAAATTGAGTAATACTAAATAGTGATAAGGAATTATATAAATATATATATGGTTTGAATTTCTACAATGTCTATACCTTTTTGAATCACCAAATAGTTATTTTCATAACGTACCTCGTCCACGCTAGCCGACTACAACGTTAGCATACTGATTCCAATAGGACAACAGAAAGGTGGCCTAAATACAAAATCGCAATTTCCATTATGGGTAAAATTTATTTTGATAAAGTCTCACAGTGTTGTACAGTAATATTTACTGATGACGTTTCGAGTACAATAATCATATCGTAACCTTGATATGATTATGAGCAATAAATTGTGAAAACAGAAAGAAAAGCACAATAAAGCACAACTGTGCTCGAAACGTCATCAGTAAATATTACTGTACAACACTGTGAGACTTTATGAAAAATAAATTTCACCCATAATGGAATTACATTCTACCACAGTGCACAAGTTTTATTCTTATATCAATGACTAAATCTCAATGTATTGCTCAGATTCAGTTAAAATAAGTCCCTCATATGTCTACAGTAAAATAAGTTACACCACAAACAGCGATTAATAACATGGTTAAATGTAGAAATGGTGCTTCTTTTGGATTACTAGTCTGGTTCAGTGTGCGCTAGAAAGTATAGACGAACGTAGAAAAGGAGAACAGTATTGCTTATTGCTCAAGATAAATACTTGTTGCAAGATTTCTATGAGCTTCATGCAATCCTTGATGTCAGTCATACCATTCTTACTGAAATAAAACGCAACACTTAGTGTAAGCTGCACAAATCCAATAAAATGGAAATAGCACCTGAGTCTTGCAATTAGAAACCTAGTTGTCATTGCCACACTCTGTGAAGCAGAGGATATGACAGTCAGTAACTCTTAGCGAGGTCAGTAATCTTATCCGGAGGATTCTGGAGAACGGTTAACTGACTGCAAAAATTTGGTGAGACTGCTCTACATTGCTCACTGAGGAGTATATATATTCATTTCTTATCATCTTCTGGATCCTGAAAGGTTTCTTAAATCTTCATCTAGTTATTCTTTTCGTTACCATCATGTTTGCCTACTGCAATCCAATTCTATTTCCGATCCCATATTCTCTGTACTTTTTCTATGTGTCAAAATGAAATGGTGTATTTCTGTCCTAAGTCCTACGTTAATCCTTCATACATCAAAAATTAACAATCGTTCTGTTTTTTTAACATGAAAACTGCCCTGTGTTTTGTAGAACAGGATAGTTGTTTGAAGTTATCTGTTGGGACCAACAGAAGTTGGTTGCGTAACGCTTGGATGCGTGAAGTCTGCGTGTGTAAGACTCAACCTATCCGGGATGAGAACGCCTGGAGAATCTGTGTTAGACCAGATTCTTTGCACTCGGTGACAAAACCATGTATATAATCTTGGTGTTTTGCTCAAGGTGGAGACCACCTCCCAATATGTAAATTCATTTTAAGACACTGGCCTTAAGTAGTTAAGATATATGCAGTTAATGTATAGTGAACGGCTTTTATTCCATCCATTGTTTGCTACACTAAAAATCCACTAAAGGATATACTGAGTTGGTTAGCCTGTGACGTGGTACCGTAGAATGATCAGTAGTTATACTACAACGGTATTTGTTGATACATCACGAACCCCTGAATATAGTCCGACAGACCACGTAACTCAGTGACACCAGATATGATCAGATATGACTCTCAGAATCTAGTCTGTTTTTTCGTGTACTGTTAGAGGTATTACAGATTAGCAAATGCTCTTATGGATAAATTTATTAAGATTACTTACTTCATCTCCATAACCCAGTTGTGGTCAATTTGTGTTTAAATAAATATGTCTCTCATAAAATACTACTATTTAAAATCCTATATCGAAATGTTCCGCGAACAATAATAAAAACCTAGGATATAGCATCCAGGATGAATTCAGTATTATTTATTTTAGAATGATTGCTAAACTGACACATTTACGCACGAAAAAGCATATTGGAAGAAAAAGTAAAATACGTAGGTGTCAAATTATTATTGCTGCGAAAACTACGACAATTTTTGGTTAGGCACTCTGTACATAGGCACGATTTTCTCGTGGACTGCAAATGAGCCTACTGATTGGTCGAAATTGCATACAAACAATCTTACGCCAAATTCTAGAACTAACATTAAAAATATCCCAATATTTCTACATAATATTAATCAGAAGCAACTTACCTATCAGACTGCAAAAATCTTAACAACATTCGAATGAATATTCAAGTCTTGCATAGAAGTATGTATAAGTCTTACCACTTACTGATACTTGCTGTCTCTCTAAGTATCTATTTATCACGATATACATACACAGATATATAACTAATAACTATGTAGAAAAGCACAAAATTATTGGTTAGGAGATTGGTTAGTCTAGAAATTGGTCGAAGATCACAGTAAGATTTGCAAAACAAAAACCACGGCGTAATAAAACACAATAACACACTATAATGCCATTAGATACAATTATGGGGCATAGTGCATCAAGACACAAGTAAATAAGCTAACCATTATACAACTGACAGTTAAATACATCATACAATTATTTGAAAAATAAATTGTAGTGTGTTACAGAAAATCCAATCAAACATGAAAACACATTCGAATTATTTTTAATAATTTTTATAATGATTTTATCGGACTCAAGGCTTAAATTGATCGCATAACTTTTGTAACACTTAAGATCTGTATATTTACAAACTAACTACACTAAGTGAACGTAGCCTGCGTCAATGATTCAATGGTAGGATGATGCTCGCCGACCACATAAGTGGTCTGAGTTCAACTCCCGACAACATACTGCCAAACCTCGCTTAGTTAACTAGCGGGTGGTAAGCTTGGATAAGACGGAGAGTTAGGCGTAAGGTTAGAAACCTCACTCTTAGTGAAAACAACACCGCCGTTACTGAAACTTCAAAAGAGCTTGAAGCCCTATATTCCACTCGGTACACGAGGAGTGAAAACAAAATTGAATGCAGTGGCCTATAGAAACGAATAGAAGTGAAACTAGCTAATATAAAAATGTAATGTATAGATACTTTCTCCCATTTCGGGAATTATAGTTTATTATCTTAGTCATTCCTCCATTTTAGACAACTGTCAACCGAACAAAATCTTTTCATCGTTCATACAAGCTTAAAAAGTCAAATGTCATTTTAAACATTTGCGTGTGGTTGCTAATTCTTATTTTCTGGTGATTTCTAAATTTTGGAAGTATACAGTTGCAAAACACATGAAGAAAGAACTTAATACTATCAGATTTTACCGTTAAAACTTTAATCTTTAAATGGGTGAACTCGCAAGGGAGTTACAAAATGCAGGTAAAAGCAATATACTTAAATTTGCTCGACATTGTGATGTGAAGTTCTTGAGCTATCCAGGATGTGACGAGGAAGTTTATTTCCATCGTACGGCAGACTACTTAATCCGGTAGCAGCTTTATTCATAGAGTGGTGGATTATGTTATATTGAAGAGTCATGTCGTGACGAGTGATTATCGGAATGAACACACCTGGTGTACGTCCCCAGTGTCGGTAAAGACGAAAGAAGTGGTCTTGCCGTATACCATTAAAGTGTATAGGATAAAGAAGGACACTTATTGTGACTGCTTGCAAGGTATCAAGACGACTGAAAAAAACCTAAAGATGGCAGCCGAACTTAAGCTATTTTGTGTGAAGGCCATAGCAGTATTTGGAAGAAAAGGTCTCTAATATTAGCTTTGTGGTTCGGGGAATGGTTATACTTACCTTGATGGTGTGGTGTGGTTTAAGACAGCTATCATTGATTTGTGTATCCCATGCCAAGACTTTGTGTACAATGTATTGTAGGTGACGCTCGATAGGACCGTGAATGAAATAATCGCTGATACTAGAAATATTCCTAAGGCGCTCAACATTGGTGAGCGGGATGGCAGTGTGGCTTACAGTAGAGCAAAGTTTGAGATTATCCAGACGGGAAGACCACTTAGTGGTTTGGTAGGGGTAAGTTGTGATATCACCTCAGGTATGAAATTATATGGTATCAGGGTTTTTTTACGTAGTTTCAAAAGTGGAGAAGTGGTCGATTTGACTGGGGAGTGTTAGTGTAGATGAACTTGTTGGAATATCTTGATTATTAGTTCAGTAGGGCTAGTTGAGTTGGACTCTTGTGTGACTTGAAAGTATTGGTTTCAACACTGCGGAGTCTTACTGGCCTGCTAGCCACTGATGTTAATGAATGAGGGGTAAACATCGATAATAAAGATGGGAGGGTGATACCAGTTTGCAGTACCTGCGATGGGAAGGAGGTTCGAGTTAAAAGTGTGGGTGGGGGTTTGTCATGGTGAGGTGGTAAGTATTCCTTTCCTTGATTTTTAGTCTACAATTGTGGATAGTGGTTATTGGACAACAGAATGTGTTTGGACAAAATTGCTGGGTGGCGACTTTGTCCAGGTTGTCACAGAGTGACTACGGGTCCAACTTGCCAAAAACTAACAGGAATTAGAAAGGAGGAGAATTTGAATCAAATGTGGACAAGTTTGGAGTTGCTAGTTGGTTATCACATATACGGTTTACCAGTAGAAGCACAGCGGGCCACTTGGTAACAATTTTTCCAAGTTGACGAGAGCCTTTGTTACGGTGTGGACGGCAGCCTCTTTAGAAGTATGCCAAGGCTGCTTAATTTAAAGAATTGGCGACCGCATGAGTTGAGATCAACGGGCAATTTGGTAGGAGAGTGGAAGAAGGGTGTGGAGAAGTGGTACTGGGAGAAAGTGAGAGGATTATATTGCGATCGAGAGGTTGGGAAGGAGGAAATTTGTTGGATCGAGACCCTCGGAATGGTTAATGAGAATTTTATGGGCGTCATGGTAGCCGTGGCAAGAAATAATGGCTGCCCCCCCACACAGCGGAGAAGCGCCTGGCGACCCCAAAAAGGAAAAGTTGGGAGATGGTATGAAGAGTTTCGCAATGAGAGACAATGGGGGGCGGAAAGCTAGTGCAATACTGGGGGATACAACTGGCCCTCGGTGACGTGAGGCAGGTGTAATGATGTGACTTGAGGGACAGGTTCATGTATGATATATGAGATAACATAAGAGTGGGTGATTCACGACCAGGACCAACTGGTTTGGTGGCACGCTACACAATTGGTTGCGGGTACCAAAGCGCTCTACGGTGGTAACCCGTGAAGAGGTTGGAAAAATTTTAAGAACACGACTACGACACCACTGGATATCATCGAAAGCAAGCTTTATGTGTTGTAGGGGCGATTTGTGGGAGCCATGGAAAACTGGTACAGTGCAATATAGAGTTGGAATGCTGGACAACCCCTTTAAGAGCAGCATTTAGAGCATGAATAGCATGTTGAACTACATTTTGAGAAGTGGTGAGTCTGCATGAAAGTAGCGGTCGCATGAAGACGGTTGTTGAAAGTTTGAAAGAACTGTTTTATTAATATTTGTTGTCTTTTATACATTGAAAATAAAGATGAATCGGCAAACCAATGAACCATAGCTCTACTCAATTTACGTTTCAATACAAATCTAGTCGCTAAGATACAAACTTGAAAATCCCATTTATGCATGTAAGTAATATAGAAATGATACATGTGACGTACCTGGAATCACGTGCAGCCATAACTGTCGAAGTTACGGTCAATCCATGAGTGGTGCCAGCTACCAACACCTGGAAACAAGTTTAAAAAGGGAAGTTAGATACACGTCAAGCTTTCGCAAATATCATTTTATTTTTAGTCAAAAATCATTAGTATTATTATCATTATTACTATTGCCTTGGGCTCCAATTGATTTCAGTAGCACATCTCCATTTTGTCCTGTTCTCTGTAGTCCCTTTCAACTAGCTCACAAGCTTTCATCTCCTCCTCACTTGATCTCCTCCATGTCACCATTGGACGACCCACTCATCCATTCCCATTCCGTTTTCACTCGAAGACTTGGAGCTGGGTGTCACTCAACGGTCTCCGCATCGTGTCTAGCTCATCTCCACTTCCTTCGACATTTGTTGGGCGTATGCTTCTTACTTGGTTTGTCCTCAGCGTTGCTTATTGATAATCCTTTCTTGCCATCTGATGTTCAGAATAGAGAAAGGCAGCTGTTGATAAAAGCCTGCAGAAGGCTGTCGGAAATGATCCTGGTGACACGCCAAGTCTCTGAACTATTTAGCAGAAATGAGTTTATATGTGTTTACTTTCTATCTCGGTGGGATAGGAAACTAAATATTATTCCAAGCCATGATGCCTTGCTTTGTACAATTAAAACGTAAACCAGAAAGTAATAAAACACAAAGCACAATATATTAACTGTTTTACACTTTGAAAAAGTGCTGCATCTAGCTTAACAACAAGCGGATGTCAGTAGAACTAGAGGAAAACTACTGGGACAAAAGACAACTGATATTTAGGATATTATGAACCCTACACTGATTTCACACTTAACAGATATTGTCTAGTATGTTTCAGGCACTTATCGTCCATCGCTGTTTGTTGCTTATTAGACTCTTTCAGAGTTGTCAACTCTCATTTTTTCTTTAGTAGCTTTTCTACTGATGCACAAATAATAATGGATTTACTCAATACGTTACTCGATATGCTACACAAGTACGAGTCATACATACTACAATGAAACCCACGTAGAAGGGTATAGTTTCAGCAGTTTTGGTATACAATGATAATTGATTTTGCAGAACCGTCAAATAAGAAACGACATGTTCTGCACTAACCAACTTCATTACAATTTTATTCCTTTTACACAGTTATGAAAACCAAAAAGAAACATTTCTTGTTGGCACTTACTACATCCTCAAAAACGTGTTCTGTTATAAAACTACCCCTTAGATCCCTATACTGCCAACTAACAAAACTTTATCTTAAGTTTACTTTCGATTAGGAGCTTATTCCTTGTGGACATCATTGTTTGGTCAGGTAAAACAGAGTACACAGAAAAGGCGGTTTTTAATAAACGTATGGTTTCGTAGTAGAAAAAAATATCCGATGTAATTCAGTGAGTGGAGGGAGGAAATTTACTAGTAAAACAAGCATTTAATGGGTGGAACGAATATGGATAACGGTACAGTAGGGGGAAAATTTTTAAAAAAAAGTTAAAACAATTATTCAGACTTACCCCAGTCACAAATGGCGTATGTTTCTTCAGAGACGGATCTACTTGGTTTGTAAAGATGTATTTATTGAACAAATAAGCGAGACAGGCAGTCAACCAAACGGTAATCACTTCGCCTATAAGTCTAGGCGTTAAACCACTACGTAAAAACTTGTATCATTTAAAAAATTATATACCTGAAGAAACTGAATAAGCCTTCATGTTTTAATATACTAGGAAAAGCAACGAAAATGCAACTGGAGAAAGAGAAACGTATGAATTTAGTGCAAGCATTTCTTACTCGTATAAATGCGATCTGTTGATAAACTGAGACATTTGGCGGATCATTACAACTTTGTTTCTGAAATGAAAATATTTGGATGAATAAGATACCTTGAAAGGGATAGCTGACAATTGTGCCCACTACACGAGCGACGGTAACCTTACCGGTCTGAAGTAAATTTATTGATAGTGATAACAATTAAACTTACACTAATCAGGAAATTTTTCATTCCTCTTTCAGTCTCGAAAAATGTCTTCTTTTCAAAAAAGGCTGGAGTTAAGTGCTTTTAAAAAGAACAGTTATAGATTAAAATTCATATACCTCCATAATCCTATCAGTGGAATAGGATTTAACAAATGATCCGACAATACTAGCAGGAAGACCAGTAGTGAAGATGCTATAAAGGCCAACTTCTTGTCGAAGTTTATGACCTTCAGTTGAATTAGAATACTTGTAAATATGACTCACAGTATGTGAAGACATTTGGGTAGTAGTATGCCTCATATTCAGGTTGAAAGATGTTACGTAAAGAAAATCGCCGAACTGGTGGAAATGGTTCATAACCCAACTTAAAAGATTATTTTGAGCCAGAAAATGATATCTTACCAACATCAATGCCCTGGCATATGTCAGTGGATGAGTTACCGTTGATATGAATGACGGTATTAAGTAATCATATGTTATTTGCGTGCTATCCATCGTGACAACCTGCAATGAAGGAACAAAACTTATGGTGTGAAATGGTGGAGTAACAAGGATAGTTAAGTAAATAGTTGAAGTTGTTATACCTCAGAACTTTATTGTGAATTTCAAGATCAAAATAAATGATAATGGACTTTGCATTTTACATGGCTCCTTGGAGGTCTGTAATCTCTCGTTTGACCTTACATGGGCGAATGGTAGTTTTGTAACACAGGAACATATTTTGGTTTCTGTGCCGTTTTTCAAAGTTAATATTCATCTTTGAACACACTTGCAAATTTTCATATCATGATGAATTATCTCCTTAAAATCTCACCTTTGTCACTGTGTCGAATTAAATAAAAATTCCAGGATTTAATCATGAACTGACACCGACTGCACAACCAGTGGAAGACCTGGGAGTATTGCACAGCTGTTTCGTCCTAGTTTGGGGCTTTTCAGCAGTACTCACCTGCTGGAGCTTGAACCCAGGGCTTTCCGATTACAAGGCGAGACAGCAGACCATTAAGCCACTGGGACGCGAACTAATGGTCCATGAATTCTAGCTTCTGCCGATTTACGATATGGAGCGACGAGCTCGCCTTGTGACCGGAGGGTCCTGCGTTTGAGCCCGGGCAGGTGCCTGCAGCCAAAGAGTTCCAAACTAGGTTGAAACAGCTGCCCACTACTTCCAGGTTTTCCTATGTTTCCCTAACCGATGTCGCTACATGATGAAATTCTCAAAACAATCAAATCCCTGCAAACCAACACTTGAATAAATAATAATTGTAAGTATGCTAATCCAGGGGAGGAAAAACTATAAGTAAAATGACTGTACATGAACTGAGAATAAAATGGCTGAAAAGATGCTTTTCCTGGGCTTCTTTTCCCTCTGATGAAACTTTTAAGATGCAGCCTCATAACAATTTGTGGATGTTAAGAAGACGAAATGTTGCTTCAGGACTCAGAACCATTAATATCTGTCTGAAATGACTGGATGAATTAATTATTCTGCCAATAGCACCAGCTTTGATGGGCCGTTTGCCAATGGGATGTTGACAGGAGTACAGGAAACGAATTTCGTTTTTGATATCCTGTGCTTATTATGATGCGAAAAATGTAATCAACCGCACGTAATGATCAAGTATGCCACGCAGTAGTATTGTCTCATTATACATAGCTATGAAACAAGGTCATTGAGTTTTGAATACCTGGGAAGATATAACATTTCTAAACGTGGTACATTTATAACATCACCATATGAGTCGGTGACTATGTGAATGAGTTCAAAACTCTCCCTCTACTTCGTTGAGAGCAACCCTATAATACTCATACACTGAATGTGATTCATACCACGATGAATAAGCGTGAACCGGATAATTTAGTTGCACTATGTATCTCACCATATAATGAAACATTATAATAACATCAAACAAAGACCATGTTATAACTCCACAGAGGCGCACAAGTATGTTATTGCATTTCGAAACAATATACAAAAAGGCAAATTAATGCAACCATAATGGACAAATACATGCGGGAAGAATAATGAAAAGGCTATCAAAATGTCTAGATTTTCAAAGATGAGATAGGCCCATTGTGGGCAATTTTGCGTCATGTTACTGGAAATCTTTCAACAAACTCCAACTCGGTGGATTGGCGCCACAGTTCAGCATAGTAACAAACAATGTTCTGGAAACATTCTTCAACAATCATGAGTGACTGTGTCGGTCTCCATATTGGTCAAACAGGTAACTCTCGCTAAGAGTTATATTGCCTTGAGCACAAAATTCAATCAGATGGACCATTCCCAAGTTACTCAACAACTTTAAATAAAGATAATGCATTTAGTGCTTCTTCTAGGAAAACGAGTTATGGTCACTGCGTTCCATGTGGTATTCACGAATCTTGAACCGACAGTTATTGACAGTTTACGCAATGGGACATATAAGCAGTTATTCAACTTCGGCATGATCAGTGGTAAGTAGGACTGAGAATAATTGTGCACGTGGTCAGCACACTGTAGGTAAGGAACTGGTTGACGAGGCGTTGGACTGCATACGCAGGCTATCCAAGAGACCTGTAGGACTGCAAGTTCTAATTTTCTTTGGAAGTGGGACTGGTTCTGTCTTCACTTTGTTACTTATGGGAGCACTGTCGGTTGATTTCGTCAAGACAGCTAAACTGGAGTCCGTTATGTATTAGGCGTCATATAAAACCACTGCCTTTCAGCTGTACAATTCAGTTCTGACATCACGTACAACACTGTGACTTTATGGTCGACAATTAAACTATTTAAGAAACATGCCATCTGAATCTTACCACTGATCGACCATCATACACGAACTTAAAGCGGTTTGTTGAAAATATCGTGAGCTCGATAACCGCTTCACTTTGATTTATTGGTGCGTTGAACGTCGATTCGAATGAGTTCCAGACGTATCTTGTTCCTAACCCCTGTAGTCACTTTCCTCTGACGATACATGAGACTATTATCTAAGGAGAGAAAGCGTTCCACGAGCAAATGCGTAATGGAGATCACAAAATCATTTTCTATATCTACAAATCAAATGGTGTAACGATTCGGAGAATGGAAAGTATATGGCACTCATGACACTAGTTTAGAAGTGTTGTCTAAAGGATTACAACCTGATGTGATTGCTATCACTGAAACATGGTTGTTGGTGAGCGTAGACTTAACTCCACTCATATCCAAGTACATCTGCATTAGAATAGACAGTAATTAGTCGGAAAGGTGATGGAGTTGCCTTATACATCCAGGATGATATAGGAATTAGATCAAAGTTGTCGGAAGCTCATGACAGCAGCACTAGTGAAGCCGCAAGCTATCATTAACTTGAACAAGGGCACTATGACAATTGGGGTCATTTATAGAAGTCCTGCCAGCCAAGCCGACGATTTCATACTAAATCACCTCAGGACGTAGAGTAGTAGAAATAGGTGTCTAATAGTAGGTGACTCTAATGCCCCACAAATTAATTTGGAGGAATTAACATTAACTGCCTTTTACACTTGTTTCAACGGGGAACTCACACTGAAAGTGCATTTGTGCAGCATATAGATGCACTAACACAATACCACCCTGAGCGTGATTCGTCCACTCCGGACTTGGTGCTAACACACTAAAAGGAATATATCGGTGACATTAGGTGTCTGAAGCCGCTAGACAGTAGTGACCACATAGTTGTCACTTTAACGTTTAGGATTCACGTTGTCATACATAGGTCAACAGCTGCTCGTCCAAACATTTGGAAAGCGAATATACCTGCAGTCTGATATGCAGCAACCCCAGATGACTGGTCTGTTGATACACACCAGACTGTCGAGGAAGCTTGAGTGAGATTTAGGAATACACCAAATTGCTTCACTGCACGTTTTACACCTTGGTCTACACCTCAAAAACTATCGCATAAATCACCTTGGAGTATTAATGGAATAAGGAGGTTATTAAGAAAGCGAAAGAACTTATGGGACCGGTTTACTGTGACTGGGGGGGGGGAATGAGTTTCGCATGGAATACCGCAAATTCGAAACCTTTGTAAGTGTATGATTGACGAAAGTCGCATAGGGTATGAGAGACAGTTAGTACTGGATTGTGTGCATTATCCAAAAAGACTGTACTCGTATATCAAATGCAGGACGAAAACTAGCAGTGGTATACTGTCCCCCATAAGCAATATTGGAGAGGCGACCGAGTTAGACAAAAGAAAGGCTGAAAAGCTGTCGGAATACTTTTGCGATGTTTTTTCGTATAATCGCACCACTCAGCGATGTAGCGAGGTCACTGCTGTAGCCACTAAAATGCCCTCAGTTGTGGTAGAGGACGCAGTGGTTCTCAAACTACTCTCCAAACTGAAACCAGGAAAATTAAGTGAACCCGACCGACTTTAACCCATACTGCTAATCTCCTTCAAATGTCTCTGGCACAGCCTAAGCTACTCAGGGACTGGAAAGATTCTTTCATAAGCCCCATCTTCAAAGAGGGGAAGAGGCAGTTACTGTCCAACTACCGGCCTGTAAGTCTGACCCGTATTTTAGCGAAGGTATTGGAAAAACTTACAAGGGGCCAGCTATTAAATCATATGGATAAACATAGCTCAGTGGCGGTGGAACAGCACAGATTCCCACCAGGACCACCCTGCCTGACAAACTTACTGTTAGCTAGGGAAGATTGGGTTGAAGCCCGGGATAAGAACCATTTATTGAATGTTGTCTTTATGATCTTAGTAAGGCATTCGATAAGGTATTATACTCAGTTCTTCTTCTTGGTAAACTCAAACGTTTTGGATTAGACCAACGCCTATGTGAGTGGTTTAGTGACTAGAAGATAAGGGTTAATGGTGTACCGTCAGGGTGGAAAGTAGTACTAAGTGGAGTACCTCAGGGGACTGTACTTGGGAATCCTGATATTCCTATTATACGTAAAAGAACTGACGAAAATTCTTACCTCATCTTCTTTATTATTTGCCGACAATACAGATATGGAAAACCGTATGTAATAACGATGATAGGTCGGTACTACAAAACGATCTAGATAAATTAGCTGAATAGGCTAACTTCTGGAGGCTGGAAATTAATTCCAAAAAAGCACAGTAACGCACCTAGGTCAAAGGTCCTACACGTCCTGCTCCCTGGAGGACACGGAAATGCCAGGTATCAAGGGACAAAAGGACTTAGGAATTATTGTAAGTAGTGGCTTAGAAACATTGGCGAATTGTAATTGAGCCTCAGCTAAGGCTTTTCGAATGCTAACATTTTGGTCAGTTGGTAGGAGTCACCTTTGTTTGGAGCAGTTATGGCAGGTCATAATATTTACACTTTGTAATCAGGTGGTTCGTAATTATGACCAAAAGTTTCAGGTATCTAAGGTCATCAATGAACAAAATTTTAAAATGACCAAAGATACATAAAATGATTCATCAGTGTTCCCAAGCTTAGCACGATTCTAAATTTATTCTAACCTATTCTTCGATAATGCGTTTTTGTAGTAATTCAAGATTTTATTTACCCACTATGTTCTGAAATAACGCTGGTCGTGCCTAAAAAGATAGCTGGGTGCTGAATTACGTCTTTTCGTTCTAAGGTAACGTCAATCCATGCCAAATGTGTCCTTTGAGGGCTGGAACAACGCTGATAAACAAACGCAGTAGGTTCTGATCTACTCAATATGCCTGGAAAAAGAACACGGTGCTGAATTAGTGTCAGTCATGCCAAGAACCAGCATTGAGTTCTAGTCTGTGCCATTAAAGAATCCATTTCAGAACAGATTCAGAATTTACTCACTATAGAATGTTAGAATTACTTTAGAACTAGTGGGATTTAATTAAGCATTATATTAAGCTTGGGTTGTATTTTTAATTCTTTTCCCATGTATTATATAATGCATAAAAAACCAAGTTTTAAGGTTTTATTTTTGATAATTCTGAACTCTCGCTACAAATGCATGCTGCTTGTCTACCAACTGCTTCTTAAAAACTAACTTTGGTGACCACAACTTGGAAGTAACGACCAGTTTCAAATTGCCACAAAGGAATTATCGTTTGGAGACTGTATCCAATATCCAATATCGTTTTTACGAGCTAGTATAAACCAATTTGATTTCTTTGTGCTCGCCTCTTGATTGTGAGGTATTTGTTCCTGATCTTTGGTAAACTTCTGCTTAGCTCCTCCCGCTACTCGACTGTCGTAGCTTTGGTTGACTCCAAAAGGAGTAGTGGTTTGTAGTATGAGGTGTGTTAATAATAATAACAGTGAAGTTATTCAGACTAACAGACAGAAAAAGAAATCAGAAAATGTAACGAAAGTCAGCTGATTAAATTTGAAGAATAATATGAATAATATATATCGGCAATAATGATAATAATAATAATAGGTGTAGTTAAAGTTGTCAGAAGAGTATGATGGGAGAGAATGTGAAGAAGTAAAACGACAAATTTGGTTGTCAACCCCTGAAAGGTGTATGGGATTTTAAGGGGACAGGCCATTTGGACGCAGTCCTTGTGTTGCTGCATGATTGTCCAGCCTTCGCTTAACTGCGTCCACACACGGTGCCATAGCCACATCTGCCGGTAAGGCGTTCCAGGGACGGCTAACCCGCAGGGAAAATAAATTGGAGCGCACCAGGGTCCTTGTCCTCTAATGAGCTATCCTTCTGGGATTTCCACGAGGGAACCTATACCTACTCTACACCAGGACACCTTTGTTTGGGTGATTATGGTCATTGGTTATTTTGTATGCAGTAATTAATTCCCACTAAGCCGACGGTTACTGAGTGTGAATAGGCCTAATTTCTTCAGCCTTTCATCATATGGTTTGTTTCGGAGGCCAACAACTCCTTTTTTGCCCGTCGTTGGACTCTTTCCAAGAGGTTGTAGTCTTTTCTAAGCATTGGGAGTGCAATAATATTATGCACTTCAAGGTGTGGCCTGACGTATGTTTTGTACAACCTTAGAAAGCGCTCAGGAGTGAGTGCATCCAACTGTCTATGTGTAAAGTGTATGACCGCATATGCCCTCGCTACATTCCTCCGTGCAATATACGCTTGTGTCCATTATCTCCGTTAGAACTAGACCTAAGTCGCGTTCCGACGTTATGCAGGACAAGCTTTCATTGCACAGGGTGAAACTTGCATTCTGCAGTCTACAGTTACGTACCTTCACTACTTTGCACTTTTTCAGATTTAAAGTCATGAAACTGGCCACCGCCCAGTCTTCCAGATGGTTTAGATCTTCCTGCAGCCAATGTGAGTCCTCCGGACACTTTACCGTCCTCCATATCCTTGTGTTGTCAGCGTATAGAAGAGTCGGGCAGCTCAGATGGCATGGTAGATCATTGATAACTTCAAAAACATCATTGGTCCTAGGATAGAACCCTGCGATACTCCTGATGATGAGCTGTGCCAAGATGATCGGACTCGATTGACCTTACTGCAAAATTGCCTTTCAGCTAGGTAGTCCTTTAACCATGACAGAAGTAACTTACCTATACCTGCCTGATTTATTTTGTGTAGAAGGTCATGGTGAACGGTGTCAAATGCCTTCTCAAAGTCTAGGAAGTCCACATTGACTGGAACATTCATATCCCAGCGTGATATTCGGTCGTCCAAAGCTCATGGAAGGTTAGTGACACAGGATCTGCCTTTCCTAAAACCGTGTTGTGCTTCATGGAGGATATTAGACCTATCGAGGTATTCCTTGATGTGATCGTCAATAATACTTTCCAGTACTTTTAATACCACTGGGAGTAGAGCTACTGGTCTATAACTGCTGGGATTTTGCCTATCCCCACCCTTGAAGATTGGAGAGAGGATGGCACTTTTCCACTCCCTTGGCAGTTTCCTCGAATCCATTGAGTGTTGGAACAAGTCGCATAAGGGCCCACAGAGAGCTTCGGCGCACCGTTCCAGAACAGATGGCCTGATGTCGTCACAACCTGAGGACTTCGCAGGTGTGAGTCGCTGTGGCTTCCTTAGTACTATTCCGGGGTTTATTTGGGGGGGTGGCCACTAAGTCTTCGTCCTGTGAAATAGTTTTGCCACCAATTTGGTCCGTAACGGTAATACCCGCATTGTTGTTGAGCTGTTTGGCGAAGGCCAAACTAAATGTTTCAGCCATCTCCAGACTAGTGAGATATTGACTGTTTGAGCCTACTAAGGCGCATGCCGCTTGGTTGGTTGGTTTTCTTTCGGGTTTGCTGGGATTTTTTTAGCAAGGTTAGCCTGGAATGACCTCCTGTCCCCCCTGACTCTCGCGTTGCACCGGTTCCTGAGTTCCAGGTATGCGTCGTGGTCGATCTGACTCGTAGATACGCGCCACGTAAACCAAGCCTTGTGCTTTGCTTGCAGAATACGTTGCGTGCCTTTCTCCAACCATGATGACTTCCTTTTGGGCTGTGTTGTGACTAAAGGGATGGTATCCGAGATTACTGTATGAATAATGTTTTTTACCACTTTCCAGTGTTCATTCACAGATAGCTCATCCCATGCTAAGGGCCAGTCTGCATAGGACAAGAGCCTCTGCATTTCAGCATAGTCAGCCTTGCTATAATACAGGCATGGTCGCGCAGCGTCCCACTGCAAATGCTCACGGAGAACTAGACCGAAACCTATGACTGCATGGTCACTACTTCCTAGAGGAGTCATGATCTGGACCTTTTCGACTGTAGCGCTAAGTAATTTCACGAAATCACCGGGCTAAAACCTTCAATACTTGACGCTGGCTTAAAACCACTATTTAATTCTACTGGTTGAGGGAAAGGGGCATAGACCGGTATTCAATATGCTTCTTGCAAAACAGTGTAAACTAAATTGATTTGTTTTCTATGACAAGTAGCGAAGTACCAGAAAAAAATGATATGAACATAAATAGAACTTTAATGTCTGTATATATACATGTTTTTATTTATTGTAAATTGCTGTTTAGTAAACATATATATTGATATTGTCTTAGTCTTCTTATACACCTGTACAACTAGTCTCTTTATTGTTTATACACAGTAATTAATGAAGTTTCCACGCGCTCTTTAGACACGCGATTCTCCTGATATTTGGTTCGCTCTAGAAATAAGTAGTTCGTTTGTGAAATTAGTAGAATGAAAGAGTCTGTACAGAGACAGTCGGAAGCTTATGACCAAGACACAGATCCTGATTTCCAGGGACAAACTGTTCAGTATTTCAGAAGAGATGGCTGTGAAGAAGTTTCCACGAAGTGATGATTTCAACAATTTTATGGTCACTGTGCATATTTGGTTACGCAGATCGTAGGAGCTTTCCAGTGAGAATTGTATATCCTTACTGTTTGAAAATGACATTTCGTATGAGATATTTAAAAATGTTGGATTTATGATAGATCGTCTTGTCCAGAGTGAAACAAAAATTCAGAGACATATGCCATGAAACGCAATTCTTCTCATAGTCACATCCATGCAGTTTGGACGTGAAGTCTCGTTAGATACTTTTCATTCTCACCTTGTCACATATGGATGTGCTACTAAGAATAAGTGGACAACATTCTAGTAGTAGCCCTACACATGTTTTGTGTAGACTGAGCTTAGCTTCATTAACGTGAAAGTTCCTGAGTATACATCTTAAAATTATCCTTAGTTTTCGAGTCTGTGGTGCCACTTGCTCAGAAAATGTTAAGTCACTAGAGTCACACTACCGAGTCTGGTTAGGGCGGCAGGCTGAAGTGTTAATTTCATGTCTACCGGAGTGCGCTAAAGCAGATCCAACCACATTTGTTCAGACTGAAGGTGGCCACGCAGTCACTTTGTCAATTTCATTCCCCACAACATTCTGGAAGTACCCTAGATCATCACACTGGAATGCTCAGGCTACTTTTGGGTCATCTGCAAGCATGAACAGTTTACCATGTAGGAAGCAAGTGCATATGTCGTCGACATAAAGTTTAAATAGGGAGGGCAGTATGACACCAGTGTGGACCACACCTGAAGTGATTGGGCTAGATTTGGAACCTGCTGCTGAGGAATGATTTTAGTCATCTCAAAAGTGAGTCACGTATTCCTTAGGAATTCAGCTTACGTATCAGCGGTAAATAGTCAACCCTATGAAGTGCCTTAGAAATGTCAAAGTAGATGACGAGCACTAGTTGTCGTCTGCCACGGTAACTGGTTACAAAACTTAAGAAATTTAGGCGACAGATTAAACATGATGAGGATTTTAGGGATCCATGTTGGTTCGGAGTTACAACATCGCAGCTTAGCATATTTCTGAGTATGTTATCTTTTCAACTGGTCTCTCCATAATTCCAGGTGCCATAGGTGTAATGCTTATTGACCTGTAGTTGTTGAATTCCGGTCTCCTACCGCACTAATGTTTAGGTATAATAAACGCCGTTTGTCATTTATCCAGACAGGTTTGAGTTTCTAAGGTCATTGTGGAGATTTTAAGCAGTACTGTGGAAAGTTAAGGATCACCATATTTATAAAAATACGGTGTAATACCGCCAGTGCCAAAACCTTGAGAGCTTCTTGGAGTTGTAATGGCTTGGTTAATGTTAGCATAAGTGAATTGAATGGTATTAATTTGTTTCGGTCAAGGTAAAGATGAAGGTTGCTTCATATTAGTAGAGTATACACCGAGTTGTGGGGATGCATGCTTAAGGTAGGTACCTGCCTGCAGACTAGCTGTATAGCCAACTTTTGTCGGTGAGGACAGAAATCCTGTGGTTTCTGAGATTTTTTATTATAGCTTGATTACACACTGCTTTTTCGGTACGAGTATGGAATTTTCAACATGTGATATCGGTAGCCCAAATTCTGCTGGCCGATCACTCATATCAGGTGTGCGTCACCAGGCTATCGAACCCCGGACCATGTGCATGGTTGACGAGAGTCGTAACTGTTGCGCCACCGACGCTTATTCAAGATTTCTGAACAGCATACTTCTCGGCGGTTCCGACTACTGCGATGCGCTCTGTATTCCCCATATGCAAGTCTCGAGCTTGTGAGATATGGCTAAGAGCGTTAAGTGTTGACTTAGTGTGCCGAAGTCATGGTGTTTGAAGTGACCTGTCGACAGTCTCATAAGT